CATGGGCGAGCGAAGGCTACCTACATTATGGAACGCTTCTTGACGGCTGCAAATTGATCATCGACCGTGCCCTTTCGCCTTCCAATGGCGATGTATTTCGCAGTACTGAATCGGCTGACGAATCAGAGCACAAGGAAATTGGTGCCACTTCAAACAACGATTCAAAAGTGGCATGGGGTAAAATATTGTGGGTGTTAATACGATTTGATTGTGAACGAACCAATACTTTGATTAAGGAATTGTTGAAGAAAGCAAAATTTATTCGGGAAGTTGATGATTTTGAGAATTGGTCAGTCCTTTCTCACGCTATATCGTTGGGTAGAGGCGATATCGTCCGTTCATTATTATTCTACTACTGCGAGAGAGCGACGTCGGTGAATGAGAAATTGGTTGAGCCTAACTTTGAGAATAATTTGCGAATTGTTGTTCCTAAATTCGGTCGACTGTGTGAAAAACACCCTGACATTGCTTTAGAATTGGTGAAAAAGATCAGTTACTTCAAATCAAAGGAGCCCGTTGTACGGAGCAATAATAAATTGGAGGGCTTTGCCTACTCAGAACGGGAAAAAAGCTATATTAATGAACATCGGGTAATATTAACATTCTGATTATACAGTATACACTTTTGATTAGGCAATTTATCATTTCTTGATGACATTATTATCTTTTTAATTCTTCTTTTACTATTGAGTAGAACGGCGACGGTTATTATTATCCGTATCATAAATGTTTGGTCCCTTTGCCGTATTTCACTCGATATCAGGAGCCACCGGAATCCCTCTTCGGATTTCTTAATGTATGTGAATGGCTTGACTACCTTTCTCCATTTGCTAGTGCGGTTCTCTATGGCAAATATCACATGTTTGGCGAACCTGCCATGGAAGCAATTATTAATTTCAAATGGAGGAAATTTGCTAGGAAGCGATATGTCATTTTTATTGGCTTATATTCCTTGTATCTTGCTTCATTCATGGCTGCCGTCACTCTCGATTCCGGCAGAGTGCATCAGGGGAACGTGATCAAACATCTGATTTCATTGTTCTCGGTTATAGTATTGGTACTCGGATTCATATTTATCGCAATCGAGATTATGCAACTGATTGCATATCGTAAACATTATTTCGGCATGTATAATTTCATTGACCTGGGCAGCACTATATTGCCAATGATTTATGCCGTCGGGGTATTTTTTGGAAGCAGCTGGAGACTTAAATATGTTGGCATCTCCATGTTCTTTGTCTATGTTGATTTTGTAAGCATTTACGATTGATCTGATTTGATGTTGCATCCGAATAATTATTTAACCGAACTTGTCGTTCTCTATTATAGATTCTGCGACTCCGAGTATTCAAAGAGTTTGGGATACCAATATTTATTATGATAGAGATATTCAAAAGCGTGCGAGGGCCTATTCTCATTATTGCAATGATGGTGGTTGCATACACACACATATACTGGCTGTTGTTTTCCTACGTGGACGTTACGGACTTGGTAGGTAATAGTACGGTGACGAACGACTTTTCGACTCCTGAACGTACACTCGTTTCGGCCTTCTTCTTCGTGGTAAGCAATTAACTTAAGAATAGCATCCAGTTTTTTTATTACGTAGATATGTTTTGATTAATTCTTGCCATTAATAGACAGGAAATTTTGGCTCCCTTAGTGATGCGTTTGGCAATCCGACAGTTGCATTTTTGGCAATTGTATTTTCGTTCATAACCGCAGTTGTATTATTGAACATCTTGATTGCCTTAATGAGTGATGTTGTCGGTAATGCCAAAGTTGTTGGTAAACATGTTTGGCTTAAGCAGAAAGCAGAGGTAAGCTTAAACGTTGAATAATTAGTGACGCCTTCTCTTTGAACATTAACTAATCTAACCCATATATGTAGTTCATATGCGAATTGGAGATGTGTATGCTCACGCGAAAGCAAAGGCAAGGACACGATTTCTTTCCGAATCTAATATACTACTATGCAAAAGATGATTCCATACAAAAATACATGAAAAAACAGAAGGGAAAGAAGAGAAAACTTACTAGCAGCAAAACAACTTAGATTGCTAAGTTTGTACTTCACATACGGTTTTAATTGACGTGTTTGTTTTCGTATTATAGAGTCATGGTTGTACAATACTTGTATTTTTAGTAAGGAGCCATCAAATGGATTAATAATAATAACGCTCTTTACGCGTGTTTACTTTGAAATCAAGGAGCCGTTCGCTACACGTGCGTTTTTTTAAAATGATCGAACATTGCTTGACGGTCAATATTGTAACTGATAAACTTGTGCGTAATTGAAATTTTGTCTTCCTCGATATCTTCGAGTATATCCCCGAATTCCTTTTTGATCCGACATTGCAGTTCTGACCAAGAAGCTTTCTCGTCACACGAAACTTCTGGAATTGATTCGAAGACGAGAGGTACAAGTAAAGATGCTATCACTTAGATTGATGTTTCATAACATTTGTTACTATATATAACATCTTTCACTTGAGAACAGAAAAATCGTATTAGTTGTGCGAATGGATGGGAAGAATAAATGAAAGGCGGACACACCCCAACGTCCGAATTACAAAGTTGTTACCTGATTGAGTAGTTGTTGCAAGTGACTTCTGCAAGTCCCGCACTGCTCATTCCCAGTCATTTCTCCTCTTTTACAAAATATTTTATTGGTCGGAGTCAAATCAATGTCATGCGAGCGCAACGGAAAATTAACACGCGTATTTGTGAGACACAATAACGCCGATAAAAAGGGAGACACGAACTTTTGTTGACATTAATTTTGTTTATTCCTCTCTGCTTCGATATCTCACAATGGTGACTATAACTTGCAATATCAAATATACTTTATGAGTTTCAGTTTCAAAATAACAGTTTCATATTTTGTAGGCACAACTGTTACGGTTGGGTTGGGAGAGAGAGCAATTAATTTGTGTAGGTGTGTTCTGTCGAGAGGAGGGCTGCCCTTGCTGAATTAAACTACAATAATGTGGGGCTGAAATTAGTCGCGTAATTAGTGGGCAAATGCGGCAGATCACATATGCAACCATTGCAAATACGATTTATGTCGATCATTTAATAAATTAAGCATGTAAAACTTTCATCTCCTTCTCACATGCAACAGTAATATCTTAAAAATGCCCTCTTTCACATAAAGCTACTGCTTGTTCGAGAGTTAGCGATTTGAAAATTTCGATACTTTATATATTTGACCAGTATTAGTAAAATTTTGTACCGTATTTATACTTTTGATGATGAATTGTGAACTTGTATATGTAATATTTGTCACACATATGATGTACGGCGTGTCAGATCAACGGTAATAGTGACATAATCTTGCGTAATTTTCGCCCTGTAGTACAAGCGCAGTAACTGCGGAAAACGCCGAAAGACGACATAATAGGCAGGCAAGAAAAGACATAAGTGCAAGTGATACGAATTATTTTCTCACCCGGCGATATTTCTTGATAAAAGAATAACTTGGACGATAGCAGAACGACATCTGCAGCTGAGAACCTTCACTTAGATTTCTACATCCTTGCATTAGAACAGTTCTTCATATTCTAATAAACCGTGTTAAAACAAACATATTTATTTCTTTTCGTGATTATAAATTCTGATTATAAGATCAAGCGCCGGTATAGTCTCTGTTACTATTGAGATACAAAACGTACTCTCGGACCGCGCGTCCTTGAGTTATACTCGCCCTTAAACCTCGTAGCCATCTTTCGTATCAGAATTATTATTTATTTCTTTGCGCAAGTTAGTAGTTTAGTTTCCCAACCCGATACGCTATTAGTTAATCCGAAATCAACGTAGATCTCGAGGATAAATAATAATTCAGGACAAGACATCGTGAATATAAATAGTAGTTTAAATGTCACTTATTGTCAATAGATTTATCTCGGAGTAGGAATAGCGAAAGGTTCGGTTTGAAAAGAGCTACATCTCAAGGCCAGTATACCAACGCTCTCCCGGGTATATTGGCTCGACAGCTGCTGCTAAGAGGCATTACTATTGCCACTGTTCTTCGCAATATCATAAGACGTATTCATCTGTTGCAGCCCTGGCTGTATGTTTCATTTCAAATACTTTTCTTACAGTGTTTATGTCTCTATTAATCATGCGTCTCACTTTTTCATTTCAATTCTTAGGTGGAATGTGTTAATGAAAGCACTAATGCTTCGATCAAGGAGAAACAGACATGGTACCAGTTATATCAACCATGCCATGCATGGAAACATATCCAAATTGACCTCATCGACTTCCGCGAGTTTTCTGAACAAGATAATGGTTTTGCATGGTTATTAAGCTGTCTCTGTACTTTCCATCACAATACCAACGAAGAACAAGAAGCAACAACTGCTGCTACTAATTTGATAGAAGACGTATTCAAATTTGGGCCCACCAGATACTCTTCAGAGTGATAACAGCAAAAAATTTGTTGCTGAGGTTATTCCACAAGTATGTAACATTCTCAGCATAAGGATTAAACACGATCGCTCTCACCATCCCCAGTCCCAAGGCCAGATCGAACACTTTCACCAGACCATTGGTCGTGGCTTGCTCTGAGACAATGAAAATAAGCTACAGAGAAAAGATTGGATAAACGTTATTGATGCATTTACAGTTATCTACAATTCAACTGTCCATTCTGCACATAACACAAAGTGATGTTCAGTTGGAAAATGCATCGTATATACGATGTTCCGAATGAAGAGAAAACGCAATCGAAGTAGCCAATCAAACATCAGTCTCAGATGCCATGTGATTGAACGACATACGTCATGACGGCAACAAATTCAGCAATTAGTGAACGAAGCACTAGACAACTACCGCTCAAAATTGTGTTCACAGAAAAAAGATGGTAACAACACAGTCAGGGCTGGAACTCCCATAATGGTTGCACCGGATCATGATCTAATCCAAAACTTCGTAAGGAAAACTACTGTCTATGTTCTCTCAACCCGATGGATTTAAGAAACTGACATCTAATAATCGCACTGCAATCGTGGAGGTAGACGGTAAAGATATCGCAATTCTTATTGAACGTGTCAAGGTGGCGACTGAGAAAGAACATTGGTCTTAATATGTATTTGACATTGTTTCAGTCATACAAATAAGCGCAATTGGTGGATATCGAAGCACAAGGCAAATAATAAGGGGTTGGATCTTTAAAATATGCTTCTTATTGCTTATAGCTTATAGCTTATGCAAGCTCACGGACAAAGGGCGTTTATATAGCATTTTTGTTTAACATACCCTCAAAAAACTTGCAGGTAAACAATACTGTTGTATTACAACGAATAGATAAAATATTTGACACCGTTTGCGGTCATTCCCGCTTACTTCTATTAAACAATTAAATTTGTTGCCAAAGGGCTATGTTGACTGTTTTGACACCGTTTGCAGTCATCCCCGCTTACTTCCGTTAAACGTTAAATTTGTTGCCGAAAGGCTATGTTGTAGTTGGCTGTCTTACACACATCCATACTATTACTACCTTCTACCCTTTATTTTTTAACATTGAGTGGTAGATATTTGCTTTACTATATCTGGCAAGATCGACGAAATTTCATGACAAGCTAGAGCTTGTCAACCAATCATATTGTACCACTGATTGTGAACAAAATGACCTTTTTTTATACATCAACAACATTGCATTATTTATAACTTTACAATCTATGTACGTTTATAACTTCATAAAATATTATGCGCAACATGACTTATAGTATGCGATTATAATATACTTATAGTGCGTGCGTTTAAATTCATCACACATCAGCTAATTACGTGTATTTAGTGACTCAAGCATTTTCAGTACGGCCATGCCATGCTAAAAGTTCGCATCATTGATTGACAAAAAGAAACACTATTGGCAAACATCAAATTTACTAAATTGCGGACTTATTAACTTATTCAGTAACTCAAAAGGATCGAACCATAACATCTCGCCATTTTACTATGCAGGAAATTTCCATAGTCAACTTAATTAGTTATTCAAACGCCATGTTATCTCCATGCGAACAATAGCTAAGAAATGTCTCATAAATTTGTGAATATACTGTAATACTGGCAGTATATACAGTTCGCTAACTAGAGATATATTACTATCATAGCTACGCAAACGTATAAATACAAACTA